AAGCAATGAGCCCGCACCTTTCCCGCATTAAACAGGCCTGGGCCATTAGAGTGCTTCAACGTCATGGACCACGGACCATGTTGTCTGAACATGGCCTGGCGCTGCAAGGGGAGTTGGACAAATTCCCTCAAATCGTTCTTGGGAGCCTTATGAAGTATGCTTCGTCGTGTGAGTGAAGTTTGACATTTCATGGCAGTATTACGCGCTCCAAAAATATCTTTCAAATTATCATCTTACCTTAACAGGTGGTACACGTGCCTGTATCGGTCGCCCAATAAAGTGCTATATGTGCTCCAGGGGGTTCAGGTTTGGACTCATGGCGGCGCACGGAAAGTGATTCACTGCATTAATTTGTCACTATACGAGAACTGTGTGGCTTAGCGTTGTCATCCATAAATACAGGTCTTGTAGCAAGAAGATGTTTAACATGATTGGTGACAAGTGGATCCAGCACCTCCTGGATACACTGATCACCCATCAAATCTCCACGTACTGTCACCAACACAATGCTGTATTTCGCTGCCTCCAAACCTTTAAGCGTCCATGAGTTACACGAAGAAGGTAACGGCTTTCATCAGACCAATGTATTCTTCGGCAAGTCCTCAGGTTCCAGCGTTGGTAAACACAATGCCAAGCGTGCTTGTTGGTGATAATCGCTCTGCAGGGACCTTTGATGATCCTTCTAGAGTGGTACCTGGCTCTCCTGAGGCGATTTCTGTCTGTTCTCGAAGAGACGCCGCCAAATGGTAACCAGTGGTCCTTCAGAACAGTGCTTGTGGCGAATTGTTGTCGTCTAGTGAGCCTTAATAGTGTCATGTGCTAACAATATTGCAATAATTTCTTAAATGAAGAATATTATCATACCTACCATCGTACATGAGCTGAACGTGAACACAGTTCCGTTAGCGGTCAGCGTATTTAGGGGTGCTTAACCATTTTCATGGTGCATGTTTAGACTGTGGCACAAACATGCTTCCATATTTTTCAGATTTCACAACTGAGGATATTTATGTACACAGCTTGAAACTAATTTTCCATAGCTGTACTAGTTGTGCTGGCTGTGGATGTAGAAGCTCTGGGCTCTGACTGTACTGATGTGCCTCATTCTTCCATAGGAAGCAAATCTATCGCCCGGAGGCAGACCACTGTAGCTGAGGTAGATTAGGCTCTGGCTCATCATTGTCCTTATCACTGAAAGGTAAAATGGTAAGTAAAAAAATGAAGACCACGGATCATGCAATAAGTCAAATGATGCAATAACAATACACTACAAAATCTTTAATAACTTCATTCAGTGTAAATTCATCAGTATAATTTAATGTTCACCTTGTGATATATCTATATATTTGTATGTATATATCACAACTACATTTAAAGTTATATCAATGTTTCATACTGAGCGTTATCTAAAATAGTATGTAACTTTCAATGAAGGTTTTTTTAATGTCCAAGTGGTTAAAAGGAAACAGATAACAGTAAATAATTGAAAAAAATACCACCTTCAGATGGGGCTGAAAATATTCGCCCTTGTTGAAATAAGTGTGGAATAGACCTCATGTTATGTGCCCACCTTAACGTATGAAAGGTGTCGGAATTGAGTTTCCAGGGGCGGATACAGCTTTTTGAGAAAGGACGGGTTCACAGTTCATTTTCACCCTGTTCACCACTTATTAAACCCACGTTTCAGGAACCACTTTACTTGTATACAGGCAGACAGAGAGCCAGACAGACAGACAAAAGTATATTTCGTAATTTTCGCCTCATGGCCTATAATACAGTCACAGAATTTGGCAGTTTCGTAAAACAGTGGTCATAATTTGTATTAGGATCTTACTTTGAAAACATTATGTAAAAATGGTGCTGTGCAGTATATAACTTGGGGGTTTTTGGATTGCAAAACTGACGTCATAGATAGTGGGCCTTTGTAGACATTTTGTAGTTGTTCAAAGTAATTGTCTCTGTACCGCTGATATTTTTCACATCGGAAGAATACATGATTCTCAGATTCTGTTTCTGCGGCATCACAGAATGAACACAAGTAGTTCGCACTTGGGGCTTCCTCATTAAACCTGAACATGCTCACTTTAAAGTAGTTATTCGAAATACGAAACTTTATCAGTGTACGGATCAGGTGTTTATATTTTAGTTCTGTTATGTAGGGCTCCAGGCGAAGTCATATTGAAACTGAATAATGGCGGAGAAAAGTGGAGCTGTTGATTTCGTTGTGCCAAGTTTGGTAGGCAATATCCTTCAATCGTTGTTCGAAATTATACATGAATAACTGAACGCTAGCAACACCCTGGTTTAACCAGACATGAAACAAACCGTTTCTGAATAGTAAGATTCTAACATTGGATGCCCGGCTTGTTCTGCCCATGTCATCAAATGTTTTTAGCATTCTGTAGCACTGTATTGGATAACGTTGCTCATTCATTCTTGAGTCTCTTGAACCAAAACTTGATTACTCGAATCTGTGTTAATACGTAGAAGGGATGACGTCCAAGCTCTCCAAGTGTGGCTTTATTTGAAGCACATTTTCCAATTTTCAGAAACCGTTTGAAATACATTGTACGGACCCTCTCGATTACATCAGAATATTTATGTCCCCATATTTCCGACCCGTATAGTAGTAAAGGTGCCACTTTTCGATCAAATATAGTTCTTGCACTTGGATAGGTTAGTTCTTGATACTTGTTAAAGAGTCTGAAAACAGAGAGACAGGCTTTACTTGCTTGTTGAGCAAGTGTTTCACAGGCTTTTGTCCACACGAGCCTAGATGAAAATATTATGCCGTGATATTTGTAGTGTGTAACCACCTTAAGAGGATTTTTACAAAAAGTTCACTTTTCAGAATTCCTCCATTACGAAACACTATGATATTTGTTCTGTTAAGATTCAGCTGTAGTCCCTATTTGATACAGAATGATTCTAGAATATTAAATTGGCACTGAAGACCTATTACGCTGGTAACAAAAAGGACAATGTCATCAGCAAACATTAGTAATAGTAGACATTGTATATCTTGATTAACAAAAATTGCATTGTTCTTAGAATGTCATTTGTTATAATATGCTTACCAAACTCTGTATACAGACGCTTCACTGATGAGTACACACTTCTGAGTAGCATAGTTATCTTTCCGTGACAGCCGCGTTGAATCAGAATATATAGCAGTTTATCTATGTCCGTCCACAAAGTCAAATGCCTTTTTAAAGTCAATGAAACCGCAGTAGAAACGACCTTTGGGTTTGCACAAGTATTTCGAACATAAAGCCTGAAGAGTGAAGATATGATGAGTAGATGAATCTTGTGGGCGGAATTCAGCTTGACTTTCGGATAATATTTCGTTTACCTCAACCCACGTCCTTAATCTTTTCTCTGTAATTGAAATAGAGAGTTTTCCCATAGAGTTTAGAATTGATACTCTCTATAATTAGATGGTTCTTTCTTGGATCCAGATTTAAACAGTGGTATGATAACGCCTATATTCCAGTTTGTAGGAAACACACCATTGTCCAAAATCTTGTTGAATAGCATCTTCAGATATGGAAAAAAACATATTACATGATAGTTTGTAAAGTTCTGGGGGTATCCCGCCAGTGCCTGTATTTGATTTAAGATTAGATATAGATTTTCTAATTTCTTCTTCAGAGATTTCAATGTTTAAGTAAATATCTTGGTGCGCGAACCCATCGCAGTCTTTGCACGAGTGATGTTCAAGGAAGTGTTTTACTTGTTGGTCAAACTTGTATACTTTGGATTTTGAGGAAATATCCGAGACACATGATCGGATATGTGTTTTTGGTCAGCATACGTTTACGGACGGTAGTGTTTACTCGCGCTATAACGAGGTGTGGTGCGATAAATGCTTCTAAGCGTCCAAAATCCAGTGGTGCGGGGATCAATGTCAGCATATCTTTTACCCATGCATACATATGTCTTTATACAATGGGTTAGGGCTAGGGTTAGCGGCGTGTATATAGTAAAGATGTACAGTAAATCACGTTTCTGTTTGACTAAGAGTGACCCACCTAGAGTGACCCACCTTTTTACCCCAAGGTGAGTACAAATGGCGTTGTACACCTGCCCGTAGCTTTCGGCATGTAGCAATCGTCACTCGTACACAGTCCATTCAAGATATGGTGTATGTTTGTATCAGGTTCACAAACTGAGTCTCGGAATTGCTGATTCATGGAGGAAACGTATTTGTTGTGCGTGTTTATCTTGTGTTTACAATGGAGCGGCTACACGTGCTGTCATGATGTGTTTATTGATGCTACAGAGACATGTCTGTAACTTAAATGTCTAGGCTTATAGCATGCAATATGTACACCGGTAGCGTTTTCGTTACTACATCGTTGATTGACATTGACGGAACGATTTATGAAATCTCGAGCTAGAATTTAGTAATAATGAATAAACCGTTTTCGATATCTGTGTTTAAAGCACAAAGCTGACACCCTCTGTGTTGTCATGAAATCGTCATGGTCTATTTTCCCGTCTCGCTGACGAGTTCGTGTAAACTTCTTTTAAATTATACAAGTGCATTTTAAACCATTATAATGTTATGTTAAGCAAGTATTGTTTTCTACTGAAACTGTGAAGAAGTTCCACGGGAGAGCCAGTGATAAGATAAACCGGGCCCCGTCTCTGACGCGCATATAAATTACACCCGACTCAGTGATGACTCAGCATTTCCCCAGGCTGTCCGAATATGAGAGCACCAGGGTGTTGACTGAGTGAAGTCGAAACGATAGCTCCTTCACTTGTCAGAAGAGAAAGTTTTGGGAAGTCGTTAAACAACTAGTAAGTAACATACTTAACAAGTATTTTGTTCACAGAAATGAATACTTGGTTATTGTTATTGTTAAACATACTTTTGATTCTTTGAGAATTAGTTTCGTCGAGGAGTAGAGTTTGTATCACAAGTAACTGTGTATGAAGTTTTAATGACAAGCCTATTTTAGTAGATGCACGATTCCACTGTGTTGCAGATCACAATGGTAGATGTTGTGTTCCTGTGCATTGCTTGTGTTGTCGTCCTTTGTGTCATACAACTACTTCGACTGATCACCGCGGACTGTGACCTGGTGCTACAATGGGCATCAAAATTTGGAAAATCTGCAAGTATGTGTTGAATGTTTGAAATTATTGGCTGGATCTATGCATTAAGATGCAACAGTCCCGTGCGGACCGGAGGAATATAATAATGCACTTAAACATAATTTATTGTCATTATATATGTTTTCAAAGTAAGATCATTTTTTTCTTTATTACGTTTTTTAACCAAATCAGCAGGTTACAGGGGGATAAAAAACAACGTTGAAAATGAGTTATGGAGTAACCATTAAAAACTATGTTCTGGAAATCAAAGAAGCACAACCTCTTGAAGCAGTACATCAGACTGGGCACCATCTTAGGTTGTGGGAAAACAATCCTGATTTTTAGTTGTTGGTTATTAGAAAACAGAAAATAATCAGTCTGGTGGAAGTGTAATCAATAGAAATAATGGTCTTGACCAAGAAAATACGTGTTCTTGCGTTGTAATGTTTTGCTTACATAATCAATGAAATACACGAACCATACCCATTTTACAGAAAACAATATTGCTTTACAATTCTTTCCGTTCACCTCCATCTTCCAGTGGATGCTGTGTCTGCCTGAAGAGGGGAAACTCAGTGGTTCGATCCAATGGATGTATCATACCAAAATATATCAAAAGATGGGACTTGATGTTACGGTGCCTGGTTGGTGACGTAAAGGGGACAAAACAAGGACTGGTCGGCATGATGTGTCTCAACTGGGTACCAGTTCTAAAGTGCATCATGATATCTCTGTGGCTTGGTTCTAGGAAATAGGTCTCACTGTTTGTGATATTTTACAAATTGCATGTCGGACAATATCAAAGATGTACTATTTCTTCGTTGATGTTCTGAAATGTTTTATTCCTACACCAGAATGCCTGAGAGGTAAAGTGGTGTGGGTGACTGGGGCCTCCAGCGGTATTGGGGAGTCCCTCGTTTACGAGCTGGCATCTGTTGGATGTCGTCTGGTGCTGTCTGCCCGTCGAGAAGAGGAGTTGAACAGAGTAAAGAAGCAATGTCTGAGTACGTGCAGTAGCCTTGGAACTAGTCAGTGATATCTCAGTACGTCCAGTAGCCTTGGAACTAGTCAGTGATGTCTCAGTACGTCGAAGTAGCCTTGGAACCAGTCAGTGATGTCACAGTACGTCCTAGTATCCTTAGAACTAGTCAGTGATGTCTCAGTAAGTCGCAGTAGCCTTGGAACTAGTCAGTGATGTCTGAGTACGTCCCAGTAGCCTTGCAACTAGTCAGTGGTGTCTCAGTACATCCAGTAGCCTTGGAACTAGTCAGTGTTGTCTCTGTACGTCCCGTAGCCTTGGAACTAGTCAGTGATGTCTCTTTACATCACAGGAGCCTTAGAACTAATCAAGAAGACCTAGTGGCCTTGGACGTTTTCAGCGATACATTCAATCCACTGTTTGAGGTTCGGACCTACTGATGTGTGTTCCTTCCTATTTATGTGTGGTTCTGTCCTACGGATGTGTGGTCACACCGATATGTGTTCGTGTTCTACTGATTGTGTGATGTGTGTTCATGGTGATGCATGTGTTCCTTCCTTTTGAATGTGTGTTTCTGTCCTAACGACGTGTGTTCCTGCCCTAATGGACTGTGTATCTAAGCGTGTGTTTTCTCTGCAGCATGTGGCCCGCTTCAAGACAATGACATCATGGTGGTGCCATTGGACATGGTGAAGCAACATGAGCATGCAGATGCTGTCAAGAAAGTCCTCCAGCATTTTAAACAGGTACTTCCTTGGTCCCATGTGCCCATTTCTGTGTGCACAGCTACTGTTGTCAGTCTCTAATATTTCAAGACAAAATAATAGTTTATCTAGGCCTTAAGAAATCCGGTACCGAAAGGTCGTTTCTTACAGGCCGCTTTTAAGGTTTTGTTGGTTTTGACCGCCACCTCCATGCTGCAGCTGATTTTTCCACATTTATGATGAAAACATTTATCATCCATGGATTGCTTTAAAATAGTCCTTGGGAATTCTTTGTTCACACTTGTCACGAACAGGTCAAGGGTAACGGTCCTAACGAAAATATGTGTCGTTTCACTTTCTCTTAAATTGTTCATGCATATATGAATAATCCTTTTAAAAGGAATTTGTGCAATGGTCAAACTCACTGTTCATGTTTTTTGTTGAAACATAGTCTAAATCGTATCAGTTTCTGCCACTTGCAATGTCATCTTTGAATGTTGAGTACAAAATATTGAGTCATCTGTTGGGTCATCTGTAGACATTATCATGATTAGAGGATATCTTGCAACAGATTTTTCAACTTAGGGAATTCTCTTGGTACAGGAAAAGTTGAAGTTGAAGCACTTTAACATGTACAGGCATGATACTTGGGTAATTGTTGGATTTAGGAAGGTTTATTGTTAGGATCAGTGCCTCTCTGTACAGGTTACATGTGCTCATAGCTTCCAGGAAAGAAAAGCGAAGGGGGGTCTTCAAGTTTGCCATGGCCGGTCTGCTGGTAATTAAAGGCATTTGTGATTATTGATTAAACTTGATGAAAGTTAAAAGTAGTTATGATACTATGGCAGAACATGTAACTTTCTTGAAAGACTGAATAATGAAAAGATGGTGCGACGTTAAGAAACTTGTGTGACTGATAGACAGCTAAGGATGTAAAATTTACTCTTCAGATAGACATTCTGGTGAACAACGCTGGCCGCTCACAGAGAGCTGAATGGGTGAAAACATCCGTTGACGTTGATCGTGAGATGCTGGAAACCAATGTCCTGGGACCCTTATCACTGACTAAAGCTGTCCTTCCCGACATGATAGCTCGGAGAGACGGTCACATTGTGGTCATGAGTAGTGTTGCTGGCAAAATGGGTATGTTGACGGAGAACCATGCTCAGATTTCTTGTGTTTTTGGAGGTTTATTAGATTCATTTTATGGCGATAGCCTTGAGTTAACTTACATATTTGGCTTTCACTGTTGCTTAAAGTAACTCGGTTATAGTATGTTTGCAGTGAAAACGTACCGATGAATTTCACTTTAAACAAAAAAGTAAATAAAAAAAAGTGAAATTAATATTGCGAATCGTCACAATTTTACCTTGCCTATTGAACATTTAAATCTCAGAATTTTATTCATCTTGGGATAAACGTTGTTTAACAAACGATCATACATTGAAATCGCTATTATTGGTTTGTATACTAGCCACATTGTCAAAATATTATCCCAGTTGATAAGTACGATAACGATGTCAAAGGTACATATAAACTTTAATGGAGGGATCATGAGACCATAACAAGTCGGGAGAATTTCAATTGAAAAGTCAATCACAATGACGACACGAGTCCACAAGCGGGACAGGGGTCAAACGACCATGTCACAAGCTCAATAACGGGTATGTCCACCATCGGCATTGAAAACAGCAGTGCATCGACGACGCATAGAGCTTATCAAACGTGCAAGGAATGCTTGTGGGATGTCCCGCCAGATTCTCTCAAGTTCTGTTGCAAGGTCAAGGACGTTATCTGGCGGATGAGGAAGACGGCGTAGACGTCGATCCAACTCGTCCCAAACATGCTCTATCGGGGAGAGATCCGGTGAATTTGCAGGCCAAGGCAGTAAGTCAACGTTGTGGTGTTTCAAGAAATCCATAGCAACCCTTGCCTTATGAGGGCGGGCATTGTCCTGTTGGAGTGTTAACCCAGGGCCATGACGTTGCAGAAAAGGAATTGCCACAGGTCGAAGAATCTGATCCCTGTAGGCCACACCAGTTAAGTTGCCCTGAACAATCACCAAAGGAGTTCTTTTGCGTGCTGTTATTCCACCCCGAATCATCACGGAACCACCACCAAAGCAATTCCTCTCCAAGACACAGGCCTGTGCATAACGTTCTCCCACGCGTCTATCACTATGGGAAATGTTAAACCTGGACTTATCTGTAAAAACAACATTTCTCCACCAAAACAAGGGTCTGCGGACATGATTTCGGCACCACATTCGGCGAGCTTGTCGATGACGTTGTGTCAGGATAGGCCGTATGGCGGGACGTTGTGGTCTGATCCCGTGATGACGTAAATGTTGTCGAACTGTGTTAGGGTGGATACGGCGAAGTCCTGGGATGGTTCGGGCAGTCATCACTGCAGTCCGAAACCTGTGGCGAAGATGGGTCCTCTTATCCATATGTCCTGTCTTGGCGTTGTTACACGTGGACGTCCAGAACGTGGCCGATCGATGTTCTGGCTGTTCTGGTAGCGCCTCACCAGTGCAGAACTGGTGTTCCGGTGGCAGTGGAAATGTGCAGCCACTTGTCGTTGAGACATTCCCCCACGGACCATCCCAATGGCCTCATGACGTTGTGCAGACGTGAGCCTTGGCATGCTATGCGTTTCAATAGCCGTTTAATTTTTTGAACGATCGCAAGGGCAGGGGTTGAGCTTTCCAAAGTGACAGTATTGTGTGGCATTCATTTGCTCTGTTTTTCTTTCCCGGAATGCACGTGCAACAACGTATTGCACGTCTCAAGGACGAACCCACTGACGTCACGGGACGTGGCACGTGCATGCATGTTTGATACATGTCACAAATCTCTGAGTTTAATCCTTATTTGTCTACACAGGTTTGATCAATTTAGATTTTAAATTTTTGTATGCACAGTTTCTTTATGTGCCTAGTATATTACAAAGAGGTTAGGCCAGAAGTTGGAACAGTGAAACAAATGCACTTGCGGTTCGTGATGAGCGTTAACTTTGACCAACTCTACTTCTTCTCGGTGTATCATTTGATGTGCATACCCCTTTGTAACACAAACCAATAATAGCGATAGCGATGTGAAACTATGATCGTTTGTTAAACAACTTTTATCCTAAGTTGAATAAAATTCTGAAATTTAATGTTGAAATGGCAAGGTAAAATTAAGAGGATTCGCAATCATAATTCCACTTTATTCGATTTACTTTTTTCTTTAAATTGAAATTCATCGGTACGTTTTCACTGCAAACAGACTATAGTGTGTATGGGGTGAATAGAATGTTTCACCTGAATCATTGACACACAGTCCTGAAGCTCTAATGTAAGGGACGTAACTCTTATCTCTGTCCCGGGATATAACCAGGGCCATAGTCAACTTTTCTCAATGGGGGTACTATCTACGTTCGAGGCCGTGAAGCGGCCTAGGATCTAGGGGGGTCCGGGGGCATGCTCCCATGAACGTTTTAAAATTATATCCTCTCGGATGCACTTTCCTGCTTTCTGAAGGTAACATGACTCCATTTATGCAATCTCCAATTTGTATAAATTATTAATTTTTCCTGCTACGTTTCACCAAATGTTTTCATGGTTTTTTTACAAAGTATCTTTGTTCAAAATTGTAGCATCTGTACAAACTGTTCTGAACTTAACTTTATAAATGTGTTCAGACATATCTGAATATATGCAAAACAACTGTTTTGTTCAGTTTAAGTATTAATATACATTAGTTGTATTATAAAATTCAGTTGACAATCCAGATGTCGTTGAGGTCGTGGCCTCGCGAGTCAATACCAGCAGTTTGTCCAGCAGTTCGTCCAATGCTGACAATTCCATCCCAGACTTTTAGTTTATAAAATACTATGTATATATTTATTTTCACCAATCAATGTTTGATTGTGTATTCATTGTTTTGTATGTTATTCTCTATTTTGTCTATCCTGACTTTTGGAGTCATGTGGATTGAATGTAATCCTTGTTCTAATTAAGTCTTCTGTTCGTAAAGTATCATTAGGTATTGCACAATATGCCTTCAGTTTATAGGGTTCCAGATAGTCTATGCCATTGCCCTGGATTCCTTATTCTATTTTTTAACGGTTGTTGTAATTAGGTGTATCCTTCTGGTACCGATCATCTGTCAGATGGACTGCCTGCAATGTTTGTGTCATTATTTGAGGTGTGGATTTCAGGGCTGCAGTGAGGATATATGACACTCAAAAGTGTTACATCAATACTTTCATGTACAAACAATAATCTGTATCAGCAGCCCCGGTCCTATGCGTCATAACCTTTTGTCTTTGCAGGTTATAGATATATTTAGTTTCTGACAATGTCTGAATCATAGAAGCTGTTACAGATACATTGGAAGTGTATATCTTTTTTTTACACAATTCACATCATTATATTACGCCTCAAACGTAACTAGTGCTAAAACACATTGAAAACTATTCATATGAATGAGGTGTTATCATAACTTTATTGAGAGTTAATTCAAGCTGTAACACACAAACGTCTAAAGATGAAAGTACAAAGTCAGTAATAATATGTCACAAACAATAACGCAGCACTGACGTTTGGTTATCGAACAATCAGGAAACGGAAGTGTGTTAGTGGGCTTGGCCTAATTTGTTTTAGTTAATGGAAACATAAAAGCAGAAATATGTTTCTTCGTAAGCCAGTCAAACGGCATGGAATATACTGACCACATAAAGAAACTGTGCACACAGAAAATATAAAGATAGGCAGACAGCGTCTTTATACATAAATTAAGGCGTGAACATAGCACGTATTGGAGACAATCAAACGCTCATGCAGGTGCCAGGCAACGTGACGTCATTGATGGTGGCCTATGGACTTGCAAAGTGTTACTGCACGTGCAGCCCATGCAGCTGCACACAACATGTGAAACTGTCACTGTCGAAAGCTTGATCTTTGGTCATTCAAACGTTCACAAATTCACATGAGAAGTCACATGCAGATCTGCTCAACGTCACGAAACCATTGGAATGGTTCGAGCAGGCATGAGCCAAGAACAGGTGGCAGCACATTTCCAATGCCATCGTAACACGTTATCTGCATTGGTCAGGCGTTATGGAAACAGTAATTAATGACGTCGCCGACCACCCACGTTCTGGGCGTCCCCGAGTAACGACGCCAAGACAGGACATATGGATTCGGGTGATTCATCTCAGACACGGCAGTGACTACATCTCAAACCATTCCCAATGCCTTCAATGCTCATTTGGTAGCCTCTTTGCGTCGATCAATGCACTGCTGTGCTTCACGCGAATGATGGTCATACCCGTTATTGACTTTGTGACTTTGACGTGTGGCCCCCAACTCAATTTTTAACTTCTGGCGTCATCGTTACGGATATTGTTCATGTTCTTTTGACATGTTGTTGTGGCTCGATACTTCAGCTTATAAAGTGTCTCCATCATTTCATCTTTTCTGTATTGTATTCCAATTCTGAAGGAATTTTCTGTGTGCACAGTTTCTTTATGTGCATAGTATATGGGGAATTGATTTTTAAACATTAGTTTTACGAAGTTTAATTAGTTTAAGAATTTGACTGTAAAATATTTGGCGCCACGGTGTCCTCTTAGTACATCTGTCTAGTGAACAGAAATATGGAAGTCAATTATAGATAGGTAAGTCAACACTAATAACTTCGCAGGGTGTTTTTTAATGGATTACACAAACAACTGTAGACAGCAGTTCAGAGACACCATGCAGTGAGTCAGTACAACACTTGTCCATTGTCTATGAAAGTAGTCCACTAGTAGGTATAGTTTCAGAAACTCAAACGCAGAAGGTATTGCTTGATCAGTTAACTAATCTCAATCAGGGGACGTAACTCTATCATCCCTATGCATCACCACCGCATATATGTATAATTGATGATCAGGTATATTTTGTCCCTTACACTGTCTGAGTCACAGAAACTGTAACAGATCCATTGTTTATTTGCAGGAGCTCCGTTGTTAGGATCGTACACAGGCTCTAAACATGCGATACAGGCAAGTCATAGTGTTTCGTGGTTTTATACAAGTAGCAAATACTAATGAAATAACAAAAGATCACCACTGAAGAAATTAATATCTTTCATCTGTGGTATAAATGGTGTACGGGACTAGTCATTTATTCAACTTGAAAGGGGTCGGAGGACTGTACTCATATTCTTGCATTGCACTTCCCGAACACATACACTATACCTTGATCCCTCTTCCCTGCACAGTTGTTACCAATGTTGGTGCCCAAGTCACTAGTCATGTCTTCATGAATACTGCAAACCCCGTCATTACCACGTGTAATAATAATCCCTAAGTGATTGTAGCTGTAGAGTGTTACTGTTGCGTACACCGCGGCCCTGGAACTGTTTGGAAAGAGATGTTCAGTCACCCGTGGGTAGCACCCCGCTAGCAACCCACCCCAGCACACAGAGAACTTTTTTATGAAGAATCATATAGGCTAATAACCTAAAGGCAACGGCGCATGAATAAGAACTAAATAACCTTGGCAGACTAGTTATTGAAATGTTGTCATCGTGAGGGCCTTGGTGCTTCATTGTATACAAAATTGACCTGTTTGAAAGAGAACTTACTAAGATATAATTGCTCTACACGGGGCTAATTTGAGTAAATATACTCTGACAAAAACAACAACAAAAAACAAAAAACAAAAGCAACTATACATGCTGTTTTTGAGTTTACTTACTAAGTGCATATAACTGAATCAAGCATTGCTCAGTTACAGTAAAATCATCACTTTACAAATTTCCAAAATATGATAATCCAGAAAGTGTTTGGTAAAACCACAGGTTGTTATTAAAGCCACTTGGTCAGAGTAAAATGTCAGTATCTGGTGTGACCACCATCAGCATCGATAACAACTTGGCAGCGGTGACTCATAGAAGAAGGAGATGCCAAATGCTGTCTTGAGGAATGTTTTGATGCTCTTGCTCAAGTGCTGTGTGCAGTTCTTGGGGTGTCTGAGGTGGCGGATTACTGGCGCAAGCGTCGATCAAGTGTATCCTTTAGATGTTCAATGGGGGACAAACCTGGTGATCGAGAACGCCAAGGTAACACCTGAACATTGTTTTGCTGGAGGAAGTCCTGTCAAACACGTGCAACGTGTGGTCGAGCATTGTCATGCTCCAAAGATCAACCGTTGACGTTCATGAAGGGAACGACGTGACGTTGAACTGGTCTGGCTTCCCATAGCCAATTGCTCACTGTCTGGTCGGAGATTCGGCGCAGTCCAGGGATTTGGATTGTTGTAGATGATGCGGCCGTGGTTTTTGAACGAAAATGTCTCAACCGGAAGTAGCGATCCCGGGCGGCGGTGGTAACTCCAGTTCGACCTGACCTGGGTCTGTCATTAACACTCCCATTATTGTTGTATCGGGTCCATAGGTTTGATATTGTCTGTCTGGACACGCTGAAGTGCCTTGCCACCTCATGCTGCGATGTCAGTCCTTGTAAACGGCCAATGGCGCTGTGTCGTTGAGCTTCTGTCAGTCTTTTCATTCTCTTTTCGCCTGTAGTGGCTTAAAGCAATGCATGTGGAGTACCATTGATGTGGCTTTTTAAAGCCTACAGTCATTGGCTTCAGCTCCAGGTGATACACAATTTCATGATGCACGTGCAATTCATGCAGGGTGCGTTTTAGCGAGTCAATGAGGCGTCAGTGTAACGTTACGTTTTTGTTCAACGTTTTTTCCTTTTCAAACGTTTTGTCGTCGGCAACCATTCCCCCGCATGCTGGGACTCAGCATGGATTGGTTTGTGTCAAATGTTTCTTATGTTTTTCCCGTCAATCTTTATTCAGTAAGACCACAGTCCTATAGTGCATTTAAAGTTTACATGAGTAGTTAGAAGTCAGTTACAAATTCTTTTCTATAACAATTCTTTTTCTTAAACTCATAGCGAAATAGATGTACATTGCCAGATTCTGTAATAGTGATGTGGTAGTATCTGTTGACAATGAAATTAATGTTCTTACACTTGGATGCTTATAATAGTATGGCTTTAGGTATTTCGTTCGTAGAGTGGTATAGGTTGGAAGGAAATGTAATTCATCCTAAACAGTGTTCATATTACATAATTGACACATTCTGTTTTCTCTTTGTATACCTGTATACCTGCCAGTTTCAATAAATAATTCATGGAGGAGCAACGAAAAGTATAGTGAGAGCTATACGAAACTCTTTTACGGCGATTTTTGCTAAACAAATCTTCAAAACGTGTATCCGATTTCCTCTGATTATAATATAAACATTTTGTTGAGAGAAAAAAATATATTTCATTCTTTGTGTAAATAATATGATAACATTTGCATGGGACTGAACATAGTGATCTCACAACACATAGCCATAACCTGTTGTACAACAACTCTCTAATATCAGTCACCCAACTTCTTTTTCCATTTTCGTCATACAATGTCATCATATCATAACATTTCTTAGGAAACCTGTGGCATGTCATATGCAGTAATCTTACCCAATACTTTATAGCTTAATGGAGGAATGTATAAACAATGGAAATGTACCCAATTCTCCGTAAACCGTAATATTACTTGTGTTCGGCTTTACACCAAGAAACCATTTGCACATGTTGTCATCGTGAGGGCTTTGGTGCTGCATTGTATACAAAATTGACCTATTTGAAAGAGAACTTACTAAGGTGTAATTGCTCTACACGGGGCTAATTTGAGTAAATATATAATGAAATGTTATTTCAGCACATGACTAGTGTGAGCGATTTTATAAAAGAGATGTTACTTCTGTGCACAAGACTGGTATATGGAATTATTAATGGAATGTAATTTCTGTACACAGGGCTGGTTTGATTGTCTGCGGGTGGAGCAGTATTCCAACAACATCAACGTGACAATGGTCTGTCCTGGACCTGTCTTTTCCAACCTACTGGCTATTGCCATGACTGAGGAGAAAGGAAAGGTGAGTTGGTAAACACTTCACGGTCCACTTGTGATCTTAGTACAAAGACTGTCTCGCCTGGTTTGTTGTGGACCTGTCTTCTCCAACCTGCTGGCTATTGCCATGACTGAGGAGAAAGGAAAGGTGAGTTGGTAAACACTTCACGGTCCACTTGTGATCTTAGTGCAAAGACTGTCTCGCCTGGTTTGTTGTGGACCTGTCTTCTCCAACCTGCTGGCTATTGCCATGACTGAGGAGAAAGGAAAGGTGAGTTGGTAAACACTTCACGGTCCACTTGTGATCTTAGTGCAAAGACTGTCTCGCCTGGTTTGTTGTGGACCTGTCTTCTCCAACCTGCTGGCTATTGCCATGACTGAGGAGAAAGGAAAGGTGAGTTGGTAAACACTTCACGGTCCACTTGTGATCTTAGTGCAAAGACTGTCTCGCCTGGTTTGTTGTGGACCTGTCTTCTCCAACCTGCTGGCTATTGCCATGACTGAGGAGAAAGGAAAGGTGAGTTGGTAAACACTTCACGGTCCACTTGTGATCTTAGTGCAAAGACTGTCTCGCCTGGTTTGTTGTGGACCTGTCTTCTCCAACCTGCTGGCTATTGCCATGACTGAGGAGAAAGGAAAGGTGAGTTGGTAAACACTTCACGGTCCACTTGTGATCTTAGTGCAAAGACTGTCTCGCCTGGTTTGTTGTGGACCTGTCTTCTCCAACCTGCTGGCTATTGCCATGACTGAGGAGAAAGGAAAGGTGAGTTGGTAAACACTTCACGGTCCACTTGTGATCTTAGTGCAAAGACTGTCTCGCCTGGTTTGTTGTGGACCTGTCTATTGGAAACACGAAACAAGCATTTTCTAATCGGGGGCATAGTATAATTAATATAGGAGTGAGTTGATTTATTAAAGTTAGTTTTATGTCGCTTTTAGCAATATTCCAGCAATATCACGGAGGGGGACACCAGAAATTGGCTTCACACATTGTAGCCATGTGGGGAATAGAACACATGTCTTCGACGCGACCAGCGAATGCTTTAACCACTAGGCTACCCCATCGCCACAGTATAATACGAAATGTGTGTTCTCTACTCAGGTCGTGGGAACTGAGATGAAAGTTGGGGAGAAAAGGGTGGCGACGTCCAGGTGTGCCGGTCTCACAGCAGTCGCCATCGCCAATCAGCTGGATGAGGTGTGGATTGCCCTCCACCCAGTACTGGCCTTCGCCTACATGTTCCAGTACTTTCCATCCTGGGCAAAAAGGTGAGTCTCCATTTACTTCCTCCACATATATCTACCAGTATTTTCCTTCCTCTCTTCTCAATAGGTATCCTTCATTTACCTCCTTCACTTAATCTCCCAGTTTCTTTCTTCCTCTTCTTGATGGTGAGCCTCCATTCACCTCCTCCACATACATCTCCCAGTTTCTTTCTTCCACTGCAAGAAGGTGAGCCTCCATTCACCTCTTCACATACATCTCCCAGCTTCTTCCACTGCAAGAAAATGAGCCTCCATTCACCTCTTCACAAACATCTCCCAGTTTCTGCCTCTGCAAGAAGGTGAGCCTCCATTCACCTCTCCACAAACATCTCCCAGTTTCTTCCACTGCAAGAAGGTGAGCCTCTATTTACCTCCTCAACACACATCTCCCTGTTTCTTTCTTCCACGGCAAGAAGGTGAGCCTCCATTCACCTCTTCACATACATCTCCCAGTTTCTTCCACTGCAAGAAGGTGAGCCTCTATTTACCTCCTCCACATACATCTCCCAGTTTCTTTCTTCCACTGCAAAAAGATGAGCCTCTATTCACGTCTTCACATACATCTCCCAGTTTCTTCCTCTGCAAGAAGATGAACCTCCATTCACCTCTTCACAAACATCTCCCAGTTTCTTCCACTGCAAGAAGATGAGCCTCCATTCACCTATCCACAAACAACTCCCAGTTTCTGCCTCTGCAAGCCTTCATTCACCTCTTCACATACATCTCCCAGTTTCTTTCACTGCAAGAAGGTGCGCCACAGTATACTTCTCCTGAATTACAGCAACTGTGTATTAATCCGACATGAAGTGAGATAGGACAAGTTCAGTCCATACATCATCAACTGTTTATTGGAATGCAAAAGATATGATGTCACAACTGATGCATAAAAGTACCTAATTGTAATATCTCTGTTGTCCTTGAGACTTCTACCATGTTTTCTGCCAGACAGTATTGCCACACATTCTTTGAATGTTGTCAAATTGTCTTATATAGATATGATCTTCCATGGTAGTCACATCAACATTTCAATTAGAGCTAGTTATCATAATTTGGAACCTCTGACTGACCAATCAGGATGAAGTAATTTCCAAATACATAGTTGAATATGTATTTTTCAGACTGGGCTGTAAGATGGGCCTTGCCCACATGAAGAAGATAAGAGAGGGTATGTAGAGGATGAGGCTACCAGCTCCGACCATCACTCATCAGTCCACAGTATACGCTCCCCTGACCGACCACACAACTGGGAAGTTAGATACGATAACACCAGGCTCAATGAGCCACATGTCTGGCTTACTGATTGACTGATAATGAGGCAATGTCCAAATGTATAGCTCGGTTTCTGAATCCAATCTTTGATGTGTGATAATTATGGCTTTCTGATCACGTAGTTTCGAAATAGATGTAGGTATTGTATATAACTACATAATTACCCTTGTACATTTAAATGTTAACAGGCCTCGGTACTTTCATATGTCCAGTCTGTCAATCTTTAATGACTGAATTGCAGTGCTTCTCAAAAGTGTGGAATATAATGACATCTCAGGCTTCTTGCATTGGATTCATTGATGCGGGAACTGTGTTTCACGTTCAAGTTATTTTGATGACGATGATGACGATGATGATGATGATGTGATTATGAATTTATACACCATGGTTTTCTGCACTTGAAACTTAGGTTTCTTTCATGTTAAGCCCAAAGGCTAAGGGGCAGTGGGGTAGCCTATTGCCTAAAGTGTTTATTCTTCATGCCAAAGATCTGTGTTCAATTACCCACATGTTTGTATGAATTTCGTGAGACTTTTTATTGAAAACGGCATAATTTCCAGTGTTCCTTGGGTGGAGGGGTATTTTAGTGGTTAAGGTATTCGTCCTTCCATACACATGATATGGTAGAAATATGTTTTAGTCTTGCACATCCTTTTCTATATGATGAAAAAATCACTCTACATATTCATACCAAGAGTTCGTGTATCTTCTTCAATCCCTGTAACTCCAGTCGATGGGTAAAAGGTTTATATAACATATAATGCCTCCGATCTCACATCTTTTCATATTCATAAAATCTAATAATAAAACTGTTGTTGATTTAAGTCTAGTTAAATTGCACAACAATGGGGATGAAGGTGCTGTGCTTTTGTAGAAAATATGAAAAGTAAACACTTTGAATGCAAGGTATATTTTGTAAACTATGACATAACAACACAAAATGTAATTACCCAAGAATCCTTTACCTTTACTGTACCAGTATGTTTTGTAGGTATGTATTTACTGATCAAATGCGTACATGAACTTCACTTGAATAATGCTCACCCAAGGCGCTACATCTGGCTTTAGGACATTGTGTATCGTTATTGCGATTACTGGGACACACTTGGAGCAGCACATATAGTTGAGAAACTGCCTGAAACAACATCTACGTAGAACTGTTTTTCATAATGTCCACGCATTCGTGTTAAAATACCCAAAAGACCAGGGTCCCGATCCACAAATGTTTCGTAGCTTTACGACCTATCCTAAATCGACACTTTATCGTGGGATTATGAATGGCGTAGTTTTTCGAACACTTTGTGGAATGGCGTAGTTTTCGAACACTTTGTGGAATGGCGTAGTTTTTCGAACACTTTGTGGAATGGCGTAGTTTTTCGAACACTTTGTGGATAGGGTCAGATACCCGAAAATATACTGAATAGCCAAACACCATATGAAAATATACTGAAGAGCCAAACACCATATGAAAATATACTGAATAGCCAAATACCATATGAAAATATACTGAATAGCCAAACACCATATGAAAATATACTGAATAGCCAAACACCATATGAAACAATATGCCAATCAGATCGCGGGCTATTTTCAGTGTTGGGTAGATCATGGTGCGAGGTTGGTGCGTCGACCCCTACTAAAACCCCTGGGCAGTGACTATATGCACTTTGATGCTACTTTTTTGTGCTACATGCCAGTGTGAGCTTACTTCAAATCTGTGATTTGCCAATTGAGAAACGGAGGCCAACTATAAAATATGATACGTCACTTCCACAGAATCAAATTGATAATTGTAATTATTTCTTTCACTCGCGATGACTTTGCATGGCGTTAACTGCTGCATGTATGCTGCATCTCGAACTCTGGGTGAACTTCACACTGTTTCCAAAGACAAAGAACCAAAAAACAATAACACACAACATCAGAAAACACCGTTGCAAACTGCTTAACGGTAACGAGGAAAGATATATCCTGGAACTTACACATCACATATGGATTTGGAAAAATTAATAAAACACACCACAAGACAGCAAAAGAAGAACATCTAAATCAAATTCTTGATCCCGTTCAGACAAATTTAAACATCGTGACAGACAGAGCAAGAAAAAGTGATGTGAGAAAATAGAACTCACCACCCTCGTTCTTCCGCAAATCGTATATATTTATAATTATAACTATGGGGCGTGGTTGAAATTAACATGGAGGCTCTTTATGACAGAACTCTATTGTGCACTTTTGCACATATTTATTGGTCTGATTATCTTCCTCTGAAGCATAAGATGAAAAGATGAAAACAAGGCATTCGACAGTTTTCATAAACGAGTCACAATCTCAATGTCAATTTTATTGATGATTGAGTACAGTTCACGGTACAGAAATCAGAGTCAACCAAGCGGAGTCGCATGTAAAGTCAACACAACCCAGTTCCCAATGGACGGCTCTCGTAACGATCTCTGTACCGAAATTATGTACAATGTGTTGTGAAGAAGAGCAGCCCCGCTGAGTCTGGGATGAAGTAAGCTGGCCTGAAAAGTAAAACAGAGGGCTTTTTATTTCCTGCTGAGGACCAGTCTCTTACCGCTTGTATTCGTCAATGTGTGATTTTGCATAAACATATAAACATGGAATGCACTTAATGTGATGAGGTTAACGAGACTGTGCAACAGCATGCCAGTTGGCGCAAACAATTCTTTAACATGAACCATCTTAAAAGACATAATAGTGTGGCACGTTCGTTTTACAACTGTCTTCACCATTCCTATGGTTTCGACCGTGAGATCCATCCATGGCACGACCCAGAATATGTATACTAGTAGTCCTCGGAAATATAAGCGGCAAAGATCCTTGAAATACACATACAGCCTCGTCTCCATGCCAACAAACCGGGACTCTTGTTGTCTAGGAAACTAAGGAAATGATGTATATTATTCAATTTTCTTTTGGTACAAATGTGATTGATAGGTTTCACACTTGCGTCCCAAGTGCCACGTTGTTGGACTCCACATTGCTCTTGGTATGTTACGTGTTGCATCCCAGGTACCACGTTGTCCGACTCCACATTGCTCTTGGTGTGTTACGTGTTGCATCCCAGGTACCACGTTGTCCGACTCCACATTGCTCTTGGTGTGTTACGTGTTGCATCCCAGGTACCACGTTGTCCCACTCCACATTGCTCTTGGTGTGTTACGTGTTGCATCCCAGGTACCATGTTGTCCCACTCCACATTGCTCTTGGTGTGTTACGTGTTGCATCCCAAGTACCACGTTGTCCGACTCCACATTGCTCTTGGTGTGTTACGTGTTGCATCCCAGGTACCACGTTGTCCGACTCCACATTGTTCTTGGTGTGTTACGTGTTGCGTCCCAAGTACCACGTTGTCCGACTCCACATTGGTCTTGGTGTGTTACGTGTTGCATCCCAGGTACCACGTTGTCCGACTCCACATTGCTCTTGGTGTGTTACGTGTTGCATCCCAAGTACCACGTTGTCCGACTCCACATTGCTCTTGGTGTGTTACGTGTTGCATCCCAGGTACCACGTTGTCCGACTCCACATTGTTCTTGGTGTGTTACGTGTTGCGTCCCAAGTACCACGTTGTCCGACTCCACATTGGTCTTGGTGTGTTACGTGTTGCATCCCAGGTACCACGTTGTCCGACTCCACATTGCTCTTGGTGTGTTACGTGTTGCATCCCAAGTACCACGTTGTCCGACTCCACATTGCTCTTGGTGTGTTACGTGTTGCATCCCTGTTACCACGTTGTCCGACTCCAAATTGCTCTTGGTGTGTTACGTGTTGCGTCCCAGGTACCACGTTGTCCGACTCCACATTGCTCTTGGTGTGTTACGTGTTGCATCCCAGGTACCACGTTGTCCGACTCCATATTGCTCTTGGTGTGTTACGTGTTGCATCCCAAGTACCACGTTGTCCGACTCCACATTGCTCTTGGTGTGTTACGTGTTGCATCCCAGGTACCACGTTGTCCGACTCCACATTGTTCTTGGTGTGTTACGTGTTGCGTCCCAAGTACCACGTTGTCCGACTCCACATTGGTCTTGGTGTGTTACGTGTTGCATCCCAGGTACCACGTTGTCCGACTCCACATTGCTCTTGGTGTGTTACGTGTTGCGTCCCAAGTACCACGTTGTCCGACTCCACATTGGTCTTGGTGTGTTACGTGTTGCATCCCAGGTACCACGTTGTCCGACTCCACATTGCTCTTGGTGTGTTACGTGTTGCATCCCAAGTACCACGTTGTCCGACTCCACATTGCTCTTGGTGTGTTACGTGTTGCATCCCAGGTACCACGTTGTCCGACTCCACATTGTTCTTGGTGTGTTACGTGTTGCGTCCCAAGTACCACGTTGTCCGACTCCACATTGGTCTTGGTATGTTACGTGTTGCATCCCAGGTACCACGTTGTCCGACTCCACATTGCTCTTGGTGTGTTACGTGTTGCATCCCACGTACCACGTTGTCCGACTCCACATTGCTCTTGGTGTGTTACGTGTTGCATCCCTGTTACCACGTTGTCCGACTCCAAATTGCTCTTGGTGTGTTACGTGTTGCGTCCCAGGTACCACGTTGTCCGACTCCACATTGCTCTTGGTGTGTTACGTGTTGCATCCCAAGTACCACGTTGTCCGACTCCACATTGCTCTTGGTGTGTTACGTGTTGCATCCCAGGTACCACGTTGTCCGACTCCACATTGTTCTTGGTGTGTTACGTGTTGCGTCCCAAGTACCACGTTGTCCGACTCCACATTGGTCTTGGTATGTTACGTGTTGCATCCCAGGTACCACGTTGTCCGACTCCACATTGCTCTTGGTGTGTTACGTGTTGCGTCCCAAGTACCACGTTGTCCGACTCCACATTGGTCTTGGTGTGTTACGTGTTGCATCCCAGGTACCACGTTGTCCGACTCCACATTGCTCTTGGTGTGTTACGTGTTGCATCCCAAGTACCACGTTGTCCGACTCCACATTGCTCTTGGTGTGTTACGTGTTGCATCCCAAGTACCACGTTGTCCGACTCCACATTGTTCTTGGTGTGTTACGTGTTGCATCACAAGTACCACGTTGTCCGACTCCACATTGCTCTTGGTGTGTTACGTGTTGCATCCCAGGTACCACGTTGTCCGACTCCACAGTGTTCTTGGTGTGTTACGTGTTGCATCCCAAGTACCACGTTGTCCGACTCCACATTGCTCTTGGTGTGTTACGTGTTGCGTCCCAAGTACCACGTTGTCCGACTCCACATTGGTCTTGGTGTGTTACGTGTTGCATCCCAGGTACCACGTTGTCCGACTCCACATTGCTCTTGGTGTGTTACGTGTTGCATCCCTGTTACCACGTTGTCCGACTCCACATTGCTCTTGGTGTGTTACGTGTTGCATCCCTGTTACCACGTTGTCCGACTCCAAATTGCTCTTGGTGTGTTACGTGTTGCGTCCCAGGTACCACGTTGTCCGACTCCACATTGCTCTTGGTGTGTTACGTGTTGCATCCCTGTTACCACGTTGTCCGACTCCAAATTGCTCTTGGTGTGTTACGTGTTGCGTCCCAGGTACCACGTTGTCCGACTCCACATTGCTCTTGGTGTGTTACGTGTTGCATCCCAAGTACCACGTTGTCCGACTCCACATTGCTCTTGGTGTGTTACGTGTTGCATCCCAGGTACCACGTTGTCCGACTCCACATTGTTCTTGGTGTGTTACGTGTTGCGTCCCAAGTACCACGTTGTCCGACTCCACATTGGTCTTGGTATGTTACGTGTTGCATCCCAGGTACCACGTTGTCCGACTCCACATTGCTCTTGGTGTGTTACGTTGCGTCCCAAGTACCACGTTGTCCGACTCTCACATTGGTCTTGGTGTGTTACGTGTTGCATCCCAGGTACCACGTT